TGTAAATAGAGGGGCATTATACCAATGTTTTACTGTATGTAAATAGAGGGGCATTATACCAATATTTTACTGTATGCAAATAGAGGGGCTTTATACCAAGATTTTACTGTATGTAAATAGAGGGGCATTATACCAAGATTTTACTGTTTGTTAATAGTGGGGCATTATACCAAGATTTTACTGTATATAAATAGAGGGGCATTATACCAATGTTTTACTGTATGTAAATAGAGGGACATTATACCAATATTTTACTGTATGTAAATTGAGGGGCATTTTACCAATGTTTTACTGTATGTAAATAGAGGGGCTTTATACCAAGATTTTACTGTATGTAAATAGAGGGGCATTATACCAATATTTTACTGTGTGTAAACTAGGAGCACTGACTGTGATAATTGTGAATTTAACGTGTATCAATTCAATATACTCGGTTTCAGAACATTGTGAGAAGAAATAAATAACTGTATCTTAATGGAAAATTTCTTTGGTTTTTCATATTTCTTTGTATTATTTGAGGTTATTGTCACTACAGGTGGAGAGTGCCCTGCATTTGATGATACATCAGAACCAAAGGCTGCCCGGAAACATCTTCATGGCATTATTAGACAGACTTATACCTCACAAACCTCGTACCCGACTGAGCTGACCCGCATCTTCTCCGTGTTACATGTAGTCATTGTAAATATAACACTCAATTTTCCATGTATTTATTGCCAAAATGTTTTCTCGTTTACTAGAACAAATTCTGTGGCTGTATTTTCATTTGAATATCAGCACATCAAAGTACAAATTGTACCAGAAGACGAACGGGCCAGATTTGCACAAGAATTTTGATTCATAGAAAAGATAAGATGTTTATGTTGGAAATGTATGTACATGCTAGTCTTAGATATTAATTTAGATTTTAGATATTGAAATATAAACTGAATTTTATCGTATATTATAGAGAACAATGCCACACTAAGTGCTCAGGGTTGTAAACAGAACTTTACATCAAACATCATTCTTCATTGCACATTTAAGAATTTTACTGGTATGACATTCCTTAAATGGCGAACATGCAAAATCTTTTCTTCTTTTTTTTTTGAAAAAATACTTGATTTGCTATTTCTAAAATGAAAAAAAATGGTAAAACTTTTTTTACATTCCTTTTATAGTATAAAAAATGTATTTTTATTCTGTAAAATTGATAGATAAAATCATTTCCTGTTGTGTTCTGTTTCGCTGTCAAAATTGATAAATACATCACTACGTATTATTTAAACATGTGATACACATAACGTATACGTTTTACTATTAACTTATTATGCTTTAGGTCCTTGGTGTGTTGTCATAAACTTCATGATTTATTCATAATTGGTAAAAAAGAGGGATGTTTAATGTGTTCTTGAAATGATAGCTCTGATTTGTAAATTTTAATGTATAAATATTTTGTCATTTCATACTCAAATGTTATATTTTTTAAATGAAAAATATTTTCATGTTTTATTTATCAGAAAATGTTGTTATGTGACCAGTCAAGTATTTAGGCCTTAATTTTGATTCAAATATTTATTTATCTTTATTATTTGTACGAATATTTCCTACGTTTCTATTCGTTCTGTAGAATTTCTACTATTGAGATTATCCACTATCATGTATGTTTATTGAGTCTTTTAGAAGATGTCTTAATCAAATTATCCACTACCATAAACAAATGTATTAGTCAGTGTTTTGTGAGTGAATGTTTTTATTTTAAGTTGTTTCGTAGGTTAGAACAAAAACGTTTTTTTTAATACGATGATTCTATGATATGATATACAAATTGCAAACCTACATGTTATCGCAATCATGCTTAGCATTTAAACATGGTACTATAACTTCTTCGAACAAAATGCAGTTCAATAGTTATTTAACATTGAATTTGACGGTATATCGATATTTCATTTGAAAGTTTTAATTTAAATCTTAAGGAAGATTTCCAATATCTGGTACAGCCAAAAGCCATAATCGGACATCGATGCTTAACGTTATGTTTATTTCGACGTAATTACAATGATGTCAGGAGCACCGCTCAAGGTATCAAGATACCAAAAAAAACACTTACTTATTTTGGTAGGTTTATATAGTGGCAATGCCGATCAAACGGAAGTATTAGAGCAAGAATATAAATAGTTTTAAGTTTTATCTGCAAATGAAAATAACTTCCAAATATTATATCGGCTCTTTTAAGGTAATTTAGTATGGTACACTTGTTGAACCCATACATGTTGTTTTGCCGTATCATACCTGTGATAGGGTGGTACACCAGTGTGAAACAGCCCATTATATAGTTCAGGGTAGTTATGGTGCTATAAATGTATCGGGTCTTTTTGTTACTTTACGGTGTGCACATATCTGTAAGATAATAATTAGATATTTTACCATGATATGAATTTGCGGTCATTATTAGACATTTGTGTTTGTCTTTGTTCAAACATTAAACGTTGTTTGTGTCTCCAAAGTCATTTACAATTCAAATACTACTTTTATTTACGTCTGTTAAGTATGACCCAATGATAGTGTGTTGATTTAACGTTTGTATAACGAAATGTTGGGTCCAACAGGATAATAAATCAAAATTCTAGTAAAATGTTCGGAAATACATTGTAACATCACACGTTTTCCCGTTACAAATGTTGTTGTTTTTTAAATTTATTGCAGTAAAAAAAACACCAATGTAAACGATATCAGCATATTGAAGTGAACACTTCATATTGAACATATAAATGAAGACTGAAATGTTCTTATTTTGTGGAAACCATCTTTAACGGTTTGGGGTGTTCAAAATAGGGTGTTGTGTAAGATGAAATTATTTGACCAGTGAAAAGTTGCTTATATCCTAAATAGAACTATATTCATCTTGTACACCTGTTACAATGTAGTATACTTGTGATTGATGTGACATTTTTGATATCTGGTATATGATAAACCCGGGGCGGGTGATCCGGGTGATCCAAGACAAGAAGACCCCCTTCCACATCTCTCTCTTTTTATGTTAAATCTTTGGGGACCAAACAATCGGCATTCACTGAAAATCTACTTTTACAAATTCTTAGAAATGCTTTACCCTCGCCCTGCTCGGTGATTAAAATTATATCATCTAACCTTTAATCAAGCTAGATTTAACGTTTTTGTATGTCGCAGTGATAACTTTGGATCACATTACCTGTCTGTATTCCATATCACCCGTATGTTGTGTACCTTATGGTGTTATGTAGGCTTAGCGAATATACGCTTAAGTTACGAGAGTAAGATTTGTGTATCTGATGATGGTATGTTTAAATATGTACTGAATACATTACATTCTGCTAAAGACACTTTGGACTTGTAATGTTTCCCATGGATTTCATTATACTTTAACCACCTATTTCTTCCCTTGGCAATATTACGAGATCGTGGTGTCCTTAGCTGAAAGTAACAATAGTGAAATGCATTTGTACATGTAACGTTGATAAGAAATGACAATCAAGACCCACATATGGTATTTCGCTTTGCTAGCTACTGTCCGTCCGTCCGTGGCGTTATCCAGAGCATATCTCCTCTATACGTAATCTGTGATCATCACAATAGAAACATGTAAGGAGGCACGGTAGTCTAGTGGTAGGACGCCGGGCACGTGACCGTGTTCCAGTCTACTTAGTTGTTAACGAGTATGTGGTTGGGCTGTGCTAGATTTATAGAATGCTAGCTGTGAGCGCCGAGGTGGCAGCACCGGCTGTGTATATGCTCCCAAGGGAGTTGAGAAAGATAATGACTGGTTGCAAAGGCCCTATAACCACGGATAATAATTTGTGAACCGCTTTGAGACAACTTACGAAATTGGTTGTGATAAAGCGGTATATAGGAACCTCGAATTATTTATAATATTATTAATATGTTGGTACATCTTGAAAAGGCGGAGTGTCATTTAAACACAGGTCACTATAACCTACATTTTGACTTTTGATCTGAAGTATAAGTGCAAGAGATTTCCCTTATCCGGAGAACTTCTCCTTATTATTTTACCTGGGATCATCTTGGATTCCATTCAAAAATTCACTGTGACCTACATTTTGACATATCACCTAAATTATAAGTCTGGAACATACTCCCTCATTATTGCACTTGGGATCATTTACTTCGTATGTGTGTACGTTTTGGGAAGTCGGAATTGATCTCTACCAATACAGCTGTACTCAATTATTGTTCACAGATTATTTTTTTAATACGAGTTCTAAACATAATTTTCAAAAGAGTCCCCCTGCCGAGAGATACAAATATAAATGTGGGCGAGTCCTACAGGAAAAACATGAGTCCGGGACTAACACCACTATAAAACTTTGCCACTTCCATACAAAGATCACTTTGCTAATTTTGTATCCATGTAAGGTAACATAATTTGATATATTTCCATCCCTCATACAGAATTTGTACTTTTTCATATTTGAGTATGCCTTTTTGAAGAGCTTGCTTAATTCTCATCAAGCTGGATTGAGCATACGTTTACGAACCTCTGACCTATAGTTGAACAATGAAGGAATATTTACAACGTTAATTGCAATCTTGATGCATAACAAATACCCATTTTGTTAGTGCAATTACTATCACCATACTGTCGGACCTATTTTGGAATGCACCTATGTAAAAGTTGCATTCACATCGTCATTGAAATAAAGTCCCAGGCTTGGTCGGGAAGGTAACACTAGACGTGAGAGTTTGTTATTATTTGTCGTAACTCGGTGTAACTGTACAGTATATTGTTGTGTTACCAACTATAAATAGTACAACTGTTAAAACTTACGTCGGTTTATCAACAGTACTTCGTGTTGATCTGCCCTGTTTCATTTGAGTAAAATATGTATCAAAGTTTTTTTAAGTGATAACTCATACAATTGTACAGCACAATCAATAAACTGTATATACTACATATGTCTGATTCTATTAGAAGCAGCTACAATGCGGATAATACAATTTGTCATTTTTCTAGGGACCAGCTCTTTATTCGTTCAATTAGTGTAATTAAGAATTGCTCTTATATAATGTATATAATATTAAGCTGAAGTGAGTTTTCTTTGTATCGGAATCAATCGTGTAACTCATGGTGTTCTGTGGAAAATTGTAAATCTTCGGTAGTGAAGCGATGCCACGAAGTTCACATGTAGCAGTATTAACAGACGGCCGAAATTGGCTGGCACTTGACGAAAATATTAATCCTATTGTGCTATTTCAGCTTAACGACTGTAGCCCTCCAAGATGTACTACAGCACTTTAAATCGTGTACTTGGCGTAAATGACGCCCACTTGAGTACACTCGTGTATATTTGGGTAAACCTGATGAATAACTAAGTCTTTTTAACGTCATTGCTTATTATCCGCACACAGTAGTGCTGTGTTTTTTTAATCAAACCCTTTGTCGATGTTCGCGTGCATTTTCTACTGGAACTTTTATCTTGTTGAAATATTTTAAAGTAATATGCATATATTTATACATTGTATTCATTGTTTACATAATCGGAGTTTGGCTATATATCACAGTTGGTGCTGTTGGGTTCAGTTCTCTGTTTCCTCAAGAACAACATTTCGAGTTACTCTTCTTGGATTATGTGATACCTACGTCTGGCAGTTTGGTTAAATTGTCATCAATGTCGGCAATTGTTTTCTTGTTCCTTGTTGTGGACAAGGAATTGATGTTTAAGATTTCGTGTTTGGAGCACATTCTTTTCTGAATACACCTTTTATCATATACAGGTTATCAGAGACAGCTGACTAGTTTTGAAAAATCTGTTCAACTCATTCACCCCTGAAATTTCAAAGAACTATTCCAAACCTTTGAACTGGAAGAGTTCAAATGTGTCTTGAGGGGTGAATGAGTTAATCAGTATTAACAAGCAAATATTGCAGATTCAGTTTGTCGGTGTATACACATATCAACACAAAACCGCAAGTATGGTGCAATATCACACTGTTTCTTTAATAAAACATTTAAAATTTGTTTAAAAAATACACGTAAACATGTTACAGTAAAGCATGAGGGAATGCCCGAGTCTAACACCACATACAGTCCACCGTTATATAACATCGACTTATCACACTGACGTAATATAGAAGTACAACACCCGACGTTATGACTTTGGAGATAGCTGACTGATACTGTTTTCTGTTCGATTTATTGAAAATTTACCTGTACCTCAAACTTGAAGAACAAAATATACTACAATGTAATAAAAATAACTTATATCTTCAAAATCAATAGAAATATAAATATCAGTGTGAATATGAATGCATTCTCTTTATTATAATTCTGCAGAAAATGGACACCGAGTGATTTTTAATCATCCTTCTGATGGAGAGGTATGTAAGCTATTTGCGTATATGCCTGTATGACAAAAAAACAACGTTGTATCCTTAATATACAATCTTAGCAAAACGCAGTTTAATGCTCGAATGTACTTGAGTCTTATTCACCGGGTCTCCGATAGTCTGTGAAACTCGTGACAAACATAATTATAACTTAAAAATGTTATATATCATTTGGACGCACAAACAACACTTAGTCGGTTCGAAATTGAAATTCTCTTTAGTTTTATATTGGTTTAATCTGTGAGAAGAGGATGATGGTTATGATATTTGTACAGTTCTCTTAACATTTTAAAAGTTAATTTGTATAGATTGATTTAACAATGGTACATGTGAGAAGCGGTATTTTAGTAAGAGGTCAAATTGTCATTAGTTTGTCAATGAATTTACTGTTGTGTATTTACAAAATTGTTTGTATTTACAAAGTTTTGTGTATTTACATAGTTGTTTGTATTGACGCCGCTCTTCATTATCGAGACGCTAACCAAGACGCACACAGCAACGGTTTTAAGGACAGAAAGACTACAACAACAAACAAGTTCCTATTGGGCTGGATATGGATGCTGATCAGTAGATGGACACCGCTAAAATCTTTAAGGACATTTGAATGATTGTGTGTGATTGAAGTCGATTACCGATTAAACAAAACACAAACGTTGGTCACATGCTGAGGGCAAACTCGAAAGCATTTCAAATGATTAAAGTGTAATCACGTTTTTTGGGTAAAGAGTGATTTTGGTCGAAATATATATAGCATTCAGGTAAACATTACACGACTTCACAATAAAAATATTCGATGTGTAAGTTAGTGTATTGATGAGTATATAGACTATTAAAATCCCTAAAGTATCCCTCATATTTTGTTCCAAAATATTCTCATTACATGAGACTTTTTCGATATCTTCCAACAAAATCGATCGCACGTGTTGTTTATCATTTGGACGCACAATCACTTTGTCGATTCGAAATTAAAATTCTCTCTTTTGTTTTATATTAGCTGGTAACATAATTTCTAAACATTGTTTGTAACGAATCAGCTGTATAATAAAATGTATAAGTTCATTCAAAGCACATAAATAACAAGTACAAAACGTTTGGTGTCAAATGACGCCAAACCACACCCATTGAACGTCTTTAAAAATCCCAACGCATTCTTTCAGTACTCTTACTGCAACAGCGCCAAGGTAAGTCCCCAATTGTCCATCACACATATGCATTTGCCATCGCTAAAGATCCGAGAGAATAGTGATACCAAAATCTATTCGACATGTTCAGCTTAAAATTAATTTGATTTTTCTCCTGTTAAGATGGCTTCGAGGGTTGTAAAACCATATCTTTGTGGACAGCGGGTGGAATCGATGTCCTTCCCTGTGAGTTTCCCACCGACAAGGTACTCCTTCCCCATCTTTTCCTGGCCCCACTCAATAAGCATGTCACTGTGTGGGACTTGAACTCCTAAGACGTCGGCCAGACCCCTGAACACAACCAGTCCCATTGGAAGTTCCTCGGTGAGATACCGCGAGGAGAAGTCCGGTTCCATGCCGCCAAACACTTCCTTCATCGGATGTGTCAGCCCTTGGTATGCCTTGTTGGTGGTGATGGAATGAAAAAGGTCACAAGACTCTTCTATTTCGTTTTTGTAGTTTTCCATGAACCAGTGATGGATGTCTTTGACATCACTCAGGTTCGCTTTTGTAGCTGCCGCCTCGAGCACAGAGCTGGCCACTGCCATACATTCGTCGCTACATTTTTGCAACAATTCGGCTGTCGCTTCATCAATACCATGATAGAAGAGAGGAGCTTCCGATACTGGCTTTCCATCCCAGTCTTTCCATTTGCCGTAAAATATGGCCGGATGAAAAAACGAATAGCTCATGATGATAGTCTCGAGGAAATGTTTGGACTGTCTCAGAATTGGCTGAGAACCAAGGAACTTTTGCAACGTCATCAGCGGTGGTTTCGTAACGGATTTACCTCGTATTAAGGAACCGGTCAAATACATCTTTGTTCCTAGAATTTCAACCCGTTTTCCGAATTCCCTTACTCGACATTCCCAAGGCAAGGATTCGAAAGACATTATAGAAATATACGAAGCCTTCTCACCAAGAATATCACGGCATTGGAATTCGAATCCTGCTTGGCCTGGAAGTCCGACAACCAAAGCTCGTTTGCCGATGTACTCGGCAATGGTTTTAAGGTAGATTTCATGCACAGATGCCGGGACAGTAAATATGATGACATTACTATCCGGAATTGCTTTTTCTGGATCTTTCGTGACCATATTCGGTTTAGATGTGACCTCCCGTGGCGGCCGGTTACTCTCGTTAACGACGACAGTTAACTCCTCTTTTTTAAGTACACGGGACCATTGTTTTGCCTCGTCCTCGTAGAGTGTCAAAACGCGTACTTCAACCCCCTTCTGTGCCGCCATTCCAGCCAAGGCATGGGCTCCACTGCCCCCTCCGCACACACACAATACCAGGTTCCCAGACATATTCAAGTTCGGGATAACTGAAAAATACACAAATTAGAATTACAATAGGAACCAAACAATTTTGGAAACAATACAAGAAAATCAAACTTCTTCGTTCGTAGACTAAAGTCAGTAATTTTGGCGAACTTTTCGTAGCTTCAGTAACATATAATGTGAGTAATACTGGATATAAAATTAACATACGTGATACTTGGGTCGTGAACAAGTTTTCTCTCGTGTTATTACACAGCTTACAGTTTGACACTGTACCACACACAGACTGGGTCGTGAACAAGTTTTTCTCTCGTTTTATTACACGGCTAATTTCAAGGCGACAAAATATGATAATGACGCTAAACCATAAACAAATCGAAATAACGATAATTATGATATTCGTTTCGTTGCTTATGACTTGGTATAAACGATAACTAGCATTGCTGCTTTACTTCAGGCTTTAGAAACTGGAGAAAATGGGAATCTTTAACATACGCAAGGCGGTTCTTTCATCAATCAGTTTGTCCGATACTCTAAAATCATGTGACTTCCCCAATTAACAGTGAACATTTTGACTAGTCCGCACCCACCTGGTAAAGACTCCAATATATAATCATTCATAACGTAATAAAACCAACGACATATCTTTATTACTTACATGAAAATAATTAATTTGAGTATTAGTCATTCCAAAAACTTTCTCATGTCTGTATGGTCCGAATTTTATAAATGATTCAAAAGTTGTGTTTTAGAATTGTCCAAAAATAGTTGTTCATTATTTTAGAATATTTACATTTCTACTGAACTTGGACTCAATATACCTACTAAACATTTTAAAGATTATTTTTCAATACACTTTCCAGTTGGCGTATGAATACATCAGCATATTTATCAACTTAATTACTTTGTTATTCCGCGGAGCGCGGGAAGTAGTTCTATTGATAAATTGTTTTCAATTATCTAAATTTTTTTGTCAGAATTTTCCAATTGAATTAAAAACAAGAGGCCCAATTGGCCTGCATCGCTCACCTGGTATAAATCTAACACTTGTAACATTAAAAGTGATTTGAAATAAATCTACAGGCAAAATATCAGTATTTATGATTAAAACTCATTCAAAAGAGCCTGTTATTTTTTTTTAAAACATTTCACCCCTGTGATTGAAAGTCGAACAAAGTCATAATGTTGAACAAATTTTATAGCCTTTCATCTCAGGATGCAACTTGCAAAGTATCAACATCCTGGGACCCATGGTTATTCAGAAGAGGTCGTTTAAAGATTTTAAACAAATTTGACCCCTGTGACCTTGAATATAAGTCAAAGTCATTCACTTTAACAAACATAGTAGTCCTTGATCCCAGCATGCTACTGACTAAATATCAACATCCTGAGCCTTTTGGTTATTCAGAACAAGTTCTTTAAATATTTTGAACATATTTGCTCCTTGTGACCTTGAATATGATTCAAGGTCATACATTTAAACAAACTTGGTAGCCCTTGATCCTAGTATGCTACTGACTAAATATCATCACCCTGGGCATTTTGGTTATTCAGAAGAAGTTGTTTAAAGTTTTTAACATATTTGACCCCTGTGACCTTGAATATGGGTGAAGGTCATTCATTTGAACAAACTTTGTAGCCCTTCATCTCAGCATGCTACTGGCCAAATATCATCACCCTGGGCATTTATGTTATTCAGAAGAAGTTGTTTAAAGTTTTTTTTTTAGACAATTGACCCCTGTGACCTTGAATATAATTGAAGGTCATTCATTTGAACAAACTTGGTAGCCCTTCACTCAAGCATGCTACTGGCCAAATATCATCTCCCTGGGCAGTTTGGTTATCGAGAATGTTTAAAGTTTTTAACATTTATGACCCCTGTGACCTTGAAATCGGGTGAAGGTCATTAATTTCAACAAACTTTGTATCCCTTCATCCCAGTTTGCTTCTGGCCAAATATCATCACCCTAGGCCTTTCGGTTATTAAGAAGAAGTCGTTTAAAGTAAAATATTGACGCCGGACGACGGACGGACGACGGACGCCGCGCCACGGCATAAGCTCACTTGGCACTTCGTGCCAGGTGAGCTAAAAATTACATCTTAATTTGCTAATTCGTTGTTATAAATGCAAACAAATTCTTCATCTTGCCAGGACGACGTCTCACAGTTAGTGATGACGTCATAAGCTTCGGTACCTTCGTGGTGTTAGATTGCACAAAACCGATATTTTAGAAATTATCCAAAAAATATCAATATTGCACTGAATGTTAATATAAGGATAAAATCCTGTTTTGGTAAGGTTTATGGGGTATAAACCTTAATAGGTCTTGAAACAAATTCAAAATGAACTGCTTTGCAGTTCATAAAACTTAACAAAACAGGATTAAATCCTTAAGTATGCGATTGGTTTTACAACCCATGGCACCTTTGCGATTGCTCATATTTTGGAGTCAACATTTACCGATTATCAAAACAAGATTATAATGAAAGGTTCTGCATGTAAAATAAAAGCCAACTAATGTTGTGTCTTTTGATAGAGTCATATATCGATATAACTAAAGTATTACATGTAAAATAATAAGAGAAGATCAAGATGTTTTTAGGAATGAACCATTATCTTTACATCTAATTCGAATGGTCAATATAAAGAAATCGCTTAAATATACTGCGATGTTAGTTTGATAGGCTCAAACTGGCGTATTTCTGGGGGACTATTTATATATCGTGTTATAATGCACATGCCCAATACACTTTTATGGGAGGGAGGCGGTCTCTAATTTCGTAATAACTCTTTTATGAATCTCATTTATCAACGGATCTGTGATTTATGTTCTTTGTACATTATAAACATACGCACGTGGTGCATATGTAATTGACTGTCTACCAGGAGCTGTGTAGATAGATCAAATGCCAGCGTGCTTTAATATATACCCAGGAAGTTAACAATGCAGAAGGGAAAATAAAATATTCAAGTAACGTTATCTGACAAAACAGGTTAAGTTACTATATAGATTTATTTTTTACTTTATATGAATAAAGTGTGTATTGAAAAGTCAAGTTACAAGGTAGACGTGAATAGGAGTAAGATATAGAACTTACGTACTGTACAGATCTTAATGTCATATATACAGAAATATTTACATAATGCGGTCAGTAATGAATGGATTGAGCCTGGCAAGCGGCCTTCCACTAAATAATTGGGCGTCCCGCCGATTAGCTAGGTAGTGATATGTGGCAGGTCAGTGTTTACTTAAATTTGTAATTAAACTGGGCTGGTGTACGTTGTTTACACTGTCATGCATGTACAAATGTGGAACACATGTGTGAACAACTGTGATGATCTGTATCATGGAGTGGAGTGGGGTAGGGTGGGGTTAGGGAGGGTGATTACGAGGAAGGAGGATAGGGTTGGATGATTGGGAATGTGTGTGTGTGTGTGGGGGGGGGGGGGAGGACACGTACATGTTGCAGATATCAGATGTCGGTTTATAGTATTCGCGCAACCTCAAGTTAAGGTTAATTTATTCTCTTTTCAAAAATTAATCAGTATACAGCGAATTATATTTCCAAGTCTGTATTAACAGGTATATAAAGTGTTCATTAAGGGAATTAATTACGTCACAACTCTAGTAACTCCCCCTACTCTTCAAGGCAAAGGAGGGCAGATCATTTTAAACATTAATTTCATGAAAGCACAGTCTTTTTCTGAGTTCGTAGATTCCTGAAGTAAAACAATAATTGAATTTAATAATAGCCGGTCTTGATCGATAATAATAACTTGTAATTCAAAATAACTTCCAATATGATAGGACAGTGCCTGGTACTCTAGGAAATAGCGGAAGTTGTCTCCCTATCTGTTGGCTATCGCTGAAAATACAAACTATAGTTTACTAGTAACGCTTAATACTGTTCCATCTCCCAGTCTCTATAATAAACTTTTGACTTCCGGTTCTTTTGCATGATAACTGTCTGTCATAATCATGCACTTGGCATTTCTAAATAATCCCCAAATACAACAATTCTGTAATCATCCTGTAACAAGCAGATTTATGTGATATATATAATCATTGTTTTCTTAGTTTTGAATAAACTGATCATGGGTAATTTCATTCACAACAAGTTTCGGTCAATTAATGTTACTGTTCTACAGACTGTATTTACCAAATAAAACTCAGGCGTCAGTCATTGATATTTAAACTGGATATGATTAAATACGGAACATCATTGTTTCCGTTACTATGCATATGTTGCAGTAAATTATACGCATTGACCATACTTTAATTTATTACATTGTTTTCATTTGTGACCATTATGAACCATTCCTGTTTGCACCATCTGTGTATGATTGCCCATCGTTAACAGCCTACACAGTTAGTGTAAATAACAGAAAGACATGATGGCATTTTAATAAACATAGACAAGTATGCTACTGAGGTATTTTCACATTGCCTGTAATTCAAAGACAATAAATGACACGCGCAAGCAATCCCCAGCACTCGGTAACTGTGTATACATAATGCTCCGGTTTATTGATAACGTGCCAGATATACACTCGTATATATATAGGAACGGGCGCGTATGTAGGGAAAGTAATTAACTGTTACTCTCTCTACTCGCGACCTTTTCTCCTCGAAGTATCATCTCGGGAATATCATTTCGTGGACTTCAAAATTTGAAAGTATATTAACAATTTTTAAATGAGACATTTAAATAGAGCCTGTTATCGGTTAGTATGTATAGCATACACTTGTGGACTCGTCATACAAAACAAAATTTGAAAATTAAATTTTTCAATTATTCTAACTTTTGATTCGAATTTATGTTTACATATATTCCTAATTCAAGTAAAGTGCGTTTGAAACGTTATGTAAGCATCTACAATTGAACAACTCTAATAAAAGCTGATATGTTTCAGAAGGGGTGTAACGTTTAAACAAAATATTAAAAGCAATTAAATTCGGTCAAGAGGGGAAATTATACTAATTGAAAGAACTCACCTTTTCTAGATTTCTATTGCTCCGCTCAAAACCACCATTATTACAATATCATGATTTCCTCAAGAAACTCTGTATAAACTTAATATCCGCGCTATCACCGACTTCCCCGTTCACATAACACGTACGCGTAAACCCTAGACAGACAATAACGACTCTGCGGGCGCATCTGTTCGAATGCTTTCGCCTTTTATGTACGGAAGGCACCGGCTTGACTTGCGCTCTGCAATCCGATCTCGTCAGCCACAGAACCCAGTCGTGTTCTTTTGATTACGATGCATTGTTTAGATTGTGTGCGTGAAGGGGGAAACTTTTCGAGTTGCCTTCTCGTGCCTCCCCACACACACATGTAACTTTACCACGTGCTTTGCACCAACCGGTGTACACATTCAACCGACTTTACAGTAATACTGCAGTGTTGATTTACTCGCCATACGAATTATGCATGTGGGTGCATGCTACTCGCATTATCGGCGGGAGTGAATCATTTGTACATTGGCTGCAAGAACTTAAATTTTTATTTGTCGTTAAGCACATTTTTTAATGACATTCCACGATGGATCCATATTGTGTTTTGTTACAAAATGCTTATATTTTTTTTTTTTAAACAAAAAAAACCACGTTGTTATTGTTTAAAGTGAATTGTGGTAGGTATTCTATTCTGTATTTTGATCCCCATAGTTCGTCAATAATGAAACATATTATACATGGGTGGTCGGGTGGTGCAGTGGATAGCGCACTTGCCTTTCACCAAGGCGGCCGGGGTTCGATTCCCCGATCGGACGTGAAAAGGTTGGGGTCACCTGCCCGACCACGTGGGTTTTCTCCGGGTACTCTGGTTTCCTCCCACACGCTAACATCCGGGCCAACAAGAGTGATTAATATAAGTTGAAATAACTTGTTTCATAATTGTTGTTAAATAAATAAAGTTTATATTTTTATATTATATTATACATGCAAGGCAGCAAAGCCTCGACCCAAGGGTTCGGAGGTGAAACATTGGATGGAGTTTCTGTTGGCGAAACGACCCAAACCCAGGCTACGTCGTGTTATATGACACAATCATTGATAAAGGTGTATCATGTAAATAAATAATGTCCAAGTATTGATATTTCAATGTACAAGTAAAATATATCCACTTAACGATATAAAACTTACACTAAGGTACCTGCTTATGTAATTAATTATATAAGGATGTACAGTATAAGGTACCTACCCAATTAACGATATAACAATGTACAATAATGTACTTACCCAATTAACAGTATAACAATGTACAAAGATCGCTACCTGGTTCAAAAAATTGTAAATAACAGTAAAAATGAGCTTATTAAAGAGTGGTTTGAAAAAGGTTGGAGAAAATGGAAACCTCTTTTAGAACTATAGTGATAATTATTACCAATGTTAATTTATAATTTTGGTTCCAGTTGGCAACTTTGAACACTTATTCATGACCATTTTAACCCTGTGTTCGCCCGATTAGCTCACTGTTCCACTTAGTTTTTTATTTATATATCATGAAACCGTGCCTCTCTGATCTTGTCTCTCCCCTAGCTCTCTCTCTCTTTCTTACTCTGCTCTATTAGTTTTGTCTCCTCCTTTTTCTTCAAATGTTCGTAAACATATGTGTACATGTATTTACGATGTGTGTTTGTGTGTGTGTGTGTGTGTGTGTGTGTGTGTGTTTTCTCTTTTAATATGAGTGACAAATATTGACATTATGGATGTGCTTAATCTTGAAATGAAATTGAGGTAATTATATATACATAATTACATACCAGCATGAAGAAGTGGTTACTTGTTGAAGATAATGATGAGGAAGTCGATTGTCTATTGTGTGAAACGTATTGATGTACTGGTAATGATGATTGTTTATTGTGTGAAACGTATTGATGTACTGGTAATGATGAT